CAGTGGAGGCTGATAAGATGAGTATAAGATCAGGTCAGTTAGCCCATCGTGACAAATTCACCAGGAATTTATCCCGATGGTTTTCAGGGAACCGCGTGGAGGTGAATTTGACATGGTACATTGCTACCAATGGGGTCATCAATCCACATTACTAATCCCCTTTCCCGGGGGGAAGGGGATTGTTAGTAATATAACCCCATTGCTAGCAATGTACCATGTCAGGTCGACCTCCACGCGGTTCCCCCTGGAAACCACCGTGTTAAATTCCTGGTGAATTTGTCACGATGGGCTAACTAACCTGACCTCATGCTCATTTTATCATCCTCCACTGGTGCCCCGCCAGCGTAAACCGTTAGCGCAGGCGGGTGAAGCATTCCATTAACATTAAAAAAAAATCCCCTTTCCCCCCTATTTTTACTATTAAATAATTAATAACTAGTGTCCTGCCTTCTTAAAACTGGTTGTCGATAACATTGCAAGTATTATATTATGCATCTTTTTAATATAAAATAAAATTGTATTCCCATAAAAAAAACTATTGACTTTTTCTAAACGATAGGAACAGCAAGACGGAATTTGCTTTCTCATAACATACTGCGCTATCATATACATTACAATATATACTTATAACATACTTTACATGTATATTATAAGTATATATTGTAATCGACAAACCTAATGTATTCCCACCTCTAATTCCCTTTGTGGGCTCATAACCGCAGCTCTGATCCATTAGTATTAGCAATGAATAATTAGCTCGACTTAGTAATGCCGATAATGACACAACTACACCTGTTCCACTAGATTTGATTTATTTAAATAATTTTAGTACAAACAAACTAGCGGTCCACCTGATGGTATGTGGCAACAGTCGCCTGTATACATGAACAGTACCACAGATATCATTACCATGTGATAAATATAATACTTGTACTGTTTGTTCTCCTAATTATCGCCTCTCAGACAATCCACTATTGTCACTCGCCGCTACAGCTTAAAGCCCGCATGACGCCAGCAGTGTGCGCTAGAGACGACACAATGCTTGCTTCTCTTTCCCACATATACTACACCACTCATGCGTTGCCATTTCTGAAGACTAAGATATCATCTTATCCTATAATTTTATGAAGATATTCAGTGGATGTATAGCAGTAAATATAATTCATTCCTAATTACATCGCATGCTGCTAAGGAACAATAGAACAGTACTAATTTTAATTGTTATTGACAAAATATTTTTATTTCAGCAAATACTCCTAAGAAATGTCACTACCTTATCTCAAGCTTTAAAAAACACATCTTACAAAGTAAGCTGGATGGCGGTTACATATTGTAACAGTCACCGACGGCTTCGGTGGTCACACCGCCTTACTTCCGATGGTCGTGGGTTCGATTCCTCGCACAACACAGTCATTTGTATTCATTAGTGTAATTGTTTGTATCGGTCTGGGTGTTTTCTATGTATATAATATGTATTTACGAAAATAAAATATATTTATTTGTATCAGTTATCTAGTACCCATAGTACAAGCTTTAGCTAACTTAACTTGGGACTAGATGGCGCTGTGTAAATTCTTCTGAGATTATTATTAATTTATATTATTGTTATTACTGTTTATTAAACAGTGAACTCGTGATATTTATTAGTTTTATAGCGTGATAGAGATATTTGTTTCTCATGGTTTCAAGCACCTACTTTGATCCTTCTTTGTGGTGTGGTAAAATCTGCTAAAGACCGTCTCCCCACCAATGGAGTGATGGGGAGGTGTGTAGAATTCGTACCTACTAAAAGTCCAGACGGTGTATGTACAAGCGCCATTGCCTATAGATGGTGTAAGGCAGGTTCCATCTCGTTGTTAGGGCGACCTATTACGCCTTACTAAAAAACAAACCGGGACCATTTAGTTGGGTTGCTGCCTCACTAGACAATACCTGTACTTTTGTTGATAATGGAATGGTGCCATCACTTGCGCTAACGGTATACGCTGGCGGGGCACCTGTGGAGGATGATAAGATAACCATGATAGTCAGGTCATGCCCACTCATGCATAAACGAAATGTCTCCTTTAGAAAGTTTATACTCTTTCCCGAGGAGATAAAAACCATCGCTCCTAAGAATATCCTTCAATTCTTGTCCCTGACGGGTCTAGGTAGCGAACTCTGAAAAAGGGTGCGCACAATAGATCTATGTAGATCGCAGTGCTACAATCACCTGACTATAGCCCAAATAACCCAATAAAAAATAAAAAATTGAGGTCAGATCTCGTGACAAATTCACCAGGAATTTAACATGATGGTTTCTAGGGGGCCCCACGTGGAGGTACAGGTAACATGGTACATTGCTAGCAATGGTGTTATCAATCCCCTTCAGCCTAATACCTGTACTAACTAGATTTAGTTAATCTGTAAGGAACAAACCTTCTATATCGAAAACTATTCCTTTGACGTCAAGCGTGGGCAGGGATCAATTTTATTCAAGCGTAACTTATGGTACCGTACAACATCAATAATGTTTCCTTATGAAAGACGACACGCGCGATTCTGCGACAGACCTGTACAGTCGTGCGATTATTCCGAACAACAGTAGGCAATCGTTTTATCATTTACTAGCTACTCGCCCGGCTTCGCGCGGGTATACATTCATCATATATATGTATATGTAAACTTTCCTCTTGAATGACCTTCTTTAAAATACGTTGCGTAGTTTTAAAGATTTAAGCATACATAGAGACGGACAGACATCGATAGCGACTTTGTTTTGTACTATGTAATGATTAAAAAAGAAGAAAAATATATTTTTAAAGGAATTAATAGAAAAACAATTATTAACGTATAATACAAATAATTATTAACGTATAATAAAATAATTATTGTATAATACGATGATATTATTATTATAACCTAGGATAATTCACACAGTGCCATCTAATTCCAAGCTAAGCAGAGCTTGTATTATAAGTGCACCCGAGAAGTGATATAACACTTAAAACATTTTTGTAACAACATACATAATATACATAGAAAACCCACACACCGATACAAACAATCTCAAAAATACAAATGTTTGTACCGTGCGAAGAATCGAACCTCAAATGTAAAATGGAGTGCTAAATCGACCACCGAGGTAATCACACATTACAATAGAGTTTACATACTCTACGCAACCTAGTTTGTGATTACAAAATTGCACGATTAATCGCTGCGATTAAAAATCGCAAGTCTACTCACTTAACCCTCCGACCGCGATCACAATCGATTTGCATCCAAATAGCCCGTAAGTAACACGAACATGGATATTAATTATATCAGACACGAAGTTTAAGGGACTGTAACGCCAAGTACAAGCCGAACTTACCGCCTGAGAGTTCCGTACATATAAAACCATACGGATCGTATATATAAGAAGATACAATAATATTTACTACAAATTATATCTACATCTATACAAATAAATAAAATTGAAGTGTCGGTTTGTATTTAATTGTATATATATTTAAATGTATGTAATTTCAAATTAATTAATTAATTTTTTTCCAAAAAATTGATTTTCATTACACTAGTATGCAGTTTTTGTCTCACTCACACCTATTTATCCTTAAAAATACCGCTCCCGCTCGCACATTAAATGAAAACCAATTTTTTTGTAAATATATTTTTTTTTGTATATTTGACACTGACATTATTTTAAAATAATTAGCCATAATTGCGATATTACTTTGATCTTTATTTGTTAACACAGTTCCTTGCAAATAGATTAAATGGAAAAATAAACAATATGTTAAGGGGCTGGTTAAAAAGTAGCACACATTATCTAAAAAAAAAAATTAAATTTTACCAAGTTTTTCGGCTAAACGAAAGGATTTTATGGATCATTTTGCATTATTTCTAAATAAAAATATTTTAAATGCTTGCAAACATAATCTTTCAAATAAAACCGCTTTTTGTATGGGGGCGATATGGAAACATGAAAAAAATGAGTTTTAATAAATATTTCGTAAAAACACGAGTTATTCAATTTAAAAATGGATGTCAATTAGAGGGGTGAGGGGTGAGACCCCCCTTTGTGTAGTATTTCGTCGATAATATAACATACAATACATGGATCAATTATCGGAAATCCAATACATAACAGTATGTAATGACGTATGTGTTACAAATAAAGAATCTTGAATCATGAACCTTGGTGAATGAGGTGAGATAGTGTTAAACCTAACCTAACCTGAGGTTAATAATATCTTCCATTACCTATATGAGACGATCAGAATGAAATTGCATCACGTTCTACATTTAACACAGCGCCATCTTGTGAACTTCTAAGACTTTCTACTACTTTGTATAGTCGGTAGAACAACCTTTAGAAGAATGCATATTTTATTGCCATAGCCATTATTGAAAAAGAATAGACAACGTCAAATCAACGTAATATCATTTGCACCGTCTACAGTTTCTCTGCACAACCTGTGGTTGACTGGTAGAAAATGCCGTAAGGCGTTAAGTCCGCCATATGTACTTTTACCTTGGTATTTAGTGCATTGAAGTTATATGTTTTTGAGGTTTCAGAGGAGCTTCCTGCCGCGTATACCTAGATTGTGGAATTAACTTTCTGCGGAGGTTTTCTCACGAGACTACAGCATAGGGTTTTTCAAGAAGGGTATATTAAGGTTTCTTAAGGGTCGGCAACGCGCACGTGATACCCCTGGGGATCATAGGCTATGGTGACCATTTACCATCAGATGGGCCGTATGCTTGTTTGCCACCATAAAAAAAATAATATAAATAAAGAAATAATATCAAGAATGAAAGCAATAATAAATAAACTGACATAAGAATTGGCCTTTGGCCTCATCATTTATACAAATATGAAGTTTAAACATAAACTAGGCTGTATGGTCTAAGGACCTTTGCCTATTCCATCATTGAAAAGGAGATGGACGAATATGAAAAAAAAAATTAAGAAATGTCATCTTAAATCGTAAGTGAAAGAAAATAAAATATTCACAATAAAATTTCAATTTCTCAATGTATTTAATGCAATGATTTTAGCTTTTGACTTTTTAATTTCTGTGTATTAGAGTTTGAAGTTTAGCAATAGTATAAAAAAATATAAGATGTATTATATGGACAAGCTACCAACGGTAATCAGCTGTTGCTTTTGCTGTTTTCTAAGAGCTGGTACTGTAATGATAGCTATATTTTCATTTGTGAGTATTTCATTTAAATTTTTATATAATCACTAGCTTACATATGAATGTGGATGGTAATAAGGGCAGAAGAAGGCAGAAATAGAGATGGATGGAGTGTGTGAAAGATGATATGGTAAGAACAGGAGTAAATAACGGATGACTGCGAACAGGGATGAATGGAAGAGAAAAACATTACGCCGACCACAAATAAATGGGATAAGGAAGAAGCAGAGGACTAGTTGATATATATATATATATACATAAAAACTTTTTTTTAATACATATCTAATTACATTAAAAATGTATTGATCTGGACATTACTTATATTTTATACTAGCTGTACTCGCGACTTCGTCCGCGTGGAATTTAACTTAAAGTAGCCTAAGTTACTCCTTATTATAATCAGCTACCTGCCAATAAAAGTCTCGTCAAAATCGGTCCAGTCATTTCTGAGATTACCCGGAACAAACAGACAGACAGACAGACAAAAATTGTAAAAAATGTTATGTTGGTGTATGTAACGTATTTATATGCATGTAGTAAAAAACGATTATTTCAATATTACAAACAGACACTTCAATTTTATTTATATGTATAGATTACTTTAATCCTATGATTTAATAAGACTGTACTCATGCTGAGGAGTTTTTAAAATCTACGTTTGGTATAAATGATTAAAATTGTACGAAATCGTTATCTAATCCATCTATATACTAATAAATGGATAATTTCAAATAGTTAATTCTGAAACTTTGAAATTAATTATATGAAACCCTACAAATGCGAGCCAAAAATATATCATAAGGATGTAACAATTTAATTAACTAACACCAAATATTGAAATGACGGCCTCTGTGGTTAATCGGTTTACCACGCCACTTTACTTGCGATAGCGACCATCGACCGTCCCTCTGATGCAGGGAGAATTAACTATGTCTGGGCTCCTGGACAATGATAATGAATAATAATAACCTAGGACAATTTACACAGCGCCATCTAGTCCTTAGCTAAGCAGAGCTTGTGTTATGTTTACTAGACAATTGGTAGAACTACATAGATATATTTTATTAAAAATATATGTAATTACGTCGAAAACAAATAGATCAATATAAACAATCATACTTATGAATACAAAAGTTTATACCGTGCGAGGAATTGAACTCACGGCCATCGGGAATAAAGCGCTGTGCTAAACGACTAGACAACCGAGGCCAGTAGTAGACATTACTATTTTCTTCTTTCTACTTTCATATTTATTTTATTGTATCAATTGATAATAATTATCTACATATTTTATGTTACACCTTAATTCACCTTATTATCGCTGATTTTTATTATTTTTGACGACCTCGGTGGTCTAGCGGTCTAGCACACCGCTTTACGCCCAATGGTCGCGGGTTCGATTCCTCACGCGGTACAGACAGTTTGTTTTCATGAGTATGATTGTTTGTGTCGATCTGGATATTTTCTATATATACTATGTATGTATTCACGAAAAAAAATGTATTTATATCAGTTATCTAGTATGCACAGCACAAGTTTTAGCTGGCTTAATTTGGGACTAGATGGCGCTGTGTGAATTGTCCTGAGATTATTATTATTATTTATTTATTTATATACTCTTTATTGCACCAGGAAAATTACATTATGTATTATGTCCTTTACTTATATTTATTTCATCATTATATTGTTAGTTCTACTAGTGTTACCCACTCACTACTAGCTGCCACGTTGTTAGGTTGAATGGCAGAGAGATATGTTAGTTATTTTAGAGATATGTTTAAGTGAACATATAAAAGAACACTCTAGTACTTAGTAGTAACTTAACACTTTAGTAGTCACTTTGTCTATAATTAAGTTTATTTCTGTATTTCAAAATGCAATAAAGAATATACAATAATATTATAAACCCGAAAGTTTGTAAGTATGGACGTTTGTTACTCTTTCACGCAAATACTACTGATCGGATTTTGATGAAACTTTACAGTAATGTAACTTATGCATCAGAATAACATATAGGCTATATTTTTTTATTGAAACTTAACGTGGTTGAAACCGAGGTCAAAGCTAGTACTTATATAAAGTTCTATTTCAATTCAGTACTGAATATATTATTCCTGTGGTAACACATACGATGCAAGAGGTACTAAACCTCTTATCTCAGATACCGTCCGTTCCCACACTTCGATCCAAGCAACAATGCATGCATTGCTCCTTTGTCGCTTGTCGCAGACATAAGACGTTGGTTATAGAGAATGAGAATCCCGGGTTAGCGAATTGTCACTTACTCTTTAATGAAAGAATGGATTTTGTTACGTAATTGGAATGACAAACAAATTGACTCTCAACCTGATGGTATGCCTCACCCAGGCTTGCCAACGTTTTTTACAAAAAATAAAATGTAAGTTCAGGTCTGAAATGAATGAAATGAATATTTTTTACTGTTTAATAGAAGAATATTAATTCTGTGAACAATATTAGAATAGAATAGAAAATAATTTATTCAAATAAACTTACATTGAAGCACTTTTAATAGTCATCACATTTTTTTTTAATCTACCGCTCATTCGTAAAGCTCTCTCATCACAAGAACAAGCAAGAAACTTGTGTGTTGCTCTTTTAAATAATTTTATTCATACTTACAATTTAAGTTTAAGTGTGTAAATACAAAATACCGATTAGCACTAATTCAATTAAATAATAAAATAGAAAAAACATTCAGTACACTACAACTGGTTAAACAATTTATAAGAGGAAATAAGTCATAGTGATTAGAGCAGACCAGTCCCCACAAGCAGCACAGTATTTTTGAAAAAAGAACAGTATTTTATTTATTTATTATTGTTGTTGTTTTAAATACATATTTATAGAGCTTCACGCACAATTTACTAAATTTATAATCTATATTAAAAACTTGGCTATGCTCGGAGTTACTCTCTGCGTGATCGAATCAGAAATGAGGAGATCCGCAGAGAGGAGAGTGGCAATGGATGGACTGACGATCTGGTCAAGCTCTCTGGAAGGCAGCGCAGCGCAGGACCGACCGTGGTGGAAATTTTTGGGGGAGGCCTATGTCCAGCAGTGGACGTCTTCCGAGCTGCGATGATGATGATGATGATTAAAAACTTCATACACCTCACCACAGTTATAATTGAAATTAAAATAAATCACTTTTTATTAAATTAATAGACGCTCTATTTCTATTATTGCGATACTTAGTACATTCAGTACTGAAGAAACTCTTTCAGTAAATGCTGAGGTTGTTATTTGTACTGATGTTATATTGTATATATAAAGTATGCACTTACAAAAAAACTATTTGAATGTATCAGCATGTATGAGTTTTCTAGTACTTATAATTCAAGCTCTCATTAGTTTACCACTAGATGGCGCTGTGTGAATTGTCCTGTTTGTATTAATTGTTTCTCTATTTTTTAATCAAAAAAATATTTAGAGACTTATCATAATGCCAATCCTTATACCTTATCTCCTACTAAACAATTAAAATAAAAAAAATCTGAACATAATACAGGATTAGTTAATGTACCATGATACATACCAACACAAAGCTGATTCACTATTTAAAATTAGGTACTTATACTATTTTATATTTCCTCTCGTAAGGGCAGATTCCACGCCCAACTTTGGGTCCTTCTGTGCAATTCTGTGTTAAAAATAGTTTCACTACTTAAAATTAGTTATTTTACATTTCCTCTCTTAAGGGCAGATTTCACGCCCAACTTTGGGTCCTTCTGTGCAATTCTATGTGTTAAAAATAGTTTCACTACTTAAAATTAGTTATTTTACATTTCCTCTCTTAAGGGCAGATTTCACGCCCAACTTTGGGTCCTTCGGTACATTTCTATGTGTTAAAAATAGTTTTACTACTTAAAATTCGTTATTTTACATTTCCTCTCTTAAGGGCAGATTTCACGCCCAACTTTGGGTCCTTCGGTACATTTCTATGTGTTAAAAATAGTTTTACTACTTAAAATTAGTTATTTTACATTTCCTCTCTTAAGGGCAGATTTCACGCCCAACTTTGGGTCCTTCGGTACATTTCTATGTGTTAAAAATAGTTTCACTACTTAAAATTAGTTATTTTACATTTCCTCTCTTAAGGGCAGATTTCACGCCCAACTTTGGGTCCTTCTGTGCGATTCTATGTGTTAAAAATAGTTTTACTACTTAAAATTAGTTATTTTACATTTCCTCTCTTAAGGGCAGATTTCACGCCCAACTTTGGGTCCTTCGGTACATTTCTATGTGTTAAAAATAGTTTCACTACTTAACATTAGTTATTTTACATTTCCTCTCTTAAGGGCAGATTTCACGCCCAACTTTGGGTCCTTCTGTGCGATTCTATCTGTTAAAAATAGTTTTACTACTTAAAATTAGTTATTTTACATTCCCTCTCTTAAGGGCAGATTTCACGCCCAATTTTGGGTCCTTCTGTGCGATTCTATGTGTTAAAAATAGTTTTACTACTTAAAATTAGTTATTTTACATTCCCTCTCTTAAGGGCAGATTTCACGCCCAATTTTGGGTCCTTCTGTGCGATTCTATGTTTTAAAAATAGTTTTACTACTTAAAATTAGTTATTTTACATTCCCTCTCTTAAGGGCAGATTTCACGCCCAATTTTGGGTCCTTCTGTGCGATTCTATGTGTTAAAAATAGTTTTACTACTTAAAATTAGTTATTTTACATTCCCTCTCTTAAGGGCAGATTTCACGCCCAACTTTGGGTCCTTCTGTGCAATTCTATGTGTTAAAAATAGTTTCACTACTTAAAATTAGTTATTTTACATTTCCTCTCTTAAGAGCAGATTTCACGCCCAACATTGGGTCCTTCTGTGCGATTCTATGTGTTAAAAATAGTTTCACTACTTAAAATTAGTTATTTTACAATTCCTCTCTTAAGAGTAGATTCTCACGCCCAACCTTCTGTGCGATTGAATAAATATTTGAAATATTGACATGTATAATTTATAAATATTTCATTAATAAGTAATTGACTTACTATTATTGTAAATAATGTAGATACTTAATAATGATTTATAAATAAGGGCTCTTTAAGGGGTTACATGGGTTTCACGGTTTCAAAAAATCGAAAAAATTTTTTTTGTCTTATTAAATTCTATAACATCTCTAGAATATTGTCCTAAATTTTCAAGTTGATCCGACTAATAGTTTCGGAGATACAGCCTTGAAAAGGTGGACGGTCGAGGTCAGGTATAGGCTGAGGGCGCAGTAGGTAAAACGCAGCTGCAGCTCATCTATTGTTAGCTGTAATTCTTGTCCCTTTTTTTCTTTATATAAGGTAAACTACTGGAAAATATTTCATTTGGTGATTTCTCGTTAAACTACGAAGTTCATTTTGAGGTAATAAAATTCACAAATAAATAGTAGAGGTAATAAATTTCACGAATAAAATTCACAACAAACACTTATAGTGTTTGTTGTGAATTTTATTCGATAAAAAATGCCGTTTAAAGTGTCTAGAACCCAGATAACGGAAGGTGTTCGTATCAGCATTATTATTAATTATGCACGGTATGGACCTAAAACTTGGCCTAAATTGCCATGAATATGCCCGAAATATGGATGAAAACCGGGTGACCGCAGCCGAAAAGAAATCTATCAGCGAGACTCGTGAAGCCAGGATTCGTCATAGACTGGAGCAAAAGGATGCCCTGGACAATACAGGTGCAGCAGGTTCTCTACTTTATGGCCCAAGAATCGACGAATCAATGTAAGTTAAAAAAAAAAAAATACCCTCTTTTATTGTCTCTTAAAACTTTAAACTCGTTTTTCTCAAAACTATGTTTTCAAAGACGGTTGTCAAGATTTCTCGCGAACTACTCAACCGATCTTGATGAAATTTTACACAGGTCTTCGAGATATCATTTACAAGGTCTTGAACGAAGGATTTTTTTTTATTTTAATTACAACTATTTTTAAAAAAAAAATGTCGAGAAATTTTCATCGAAATTTGCATTTTTTTTAAAAAAACGTCTGCCAAAAATCCAATTTTCATTTTTTTTTTTTTTCCTTCGTCCAATACCTAGTTTATTGTCTTTACTAAAACACGTATTTTTTATTTTTATTTCAGATGATCCTGAAAGAAGTTCTGCTGACAACGCGGAGGCACCTTTTTTCCGAGGGACTGCCGGAAATGGCGTCGTAATGACCGCCATTTTGATATTTTTTTTTGACAATTTTGCAAAATGTTTATTAAATATGTATCTTTTAAATAAAAAAAAATTCATTAAAATATTTCATTTTTTATATGTAAAAAAAATATTGAAAAAAGGCCGTTTTTTGCCCGAGGAAACCCATGTAACCCCTTAATTATAAGAATAACCAAAATGGACATTTGTTTTGTCTGTTGCATGTCAGATATGACAAAATGTGTGAAACTAATTGTAAAGATCTTTAAAACCACATATGTACCATATTTTAAGCAATAAATATTAATTTCAGTATGCTAAAATTTTTTTCAGAACTTTACATTTCTTCTCTTAAGGGTAGATTCTCACGCCCAATCTTATGAACTTCTGTGTTATTCAGTATGTTAACAATTTTTTTTTCAGATAGTTGGCCTCATTTTCGTTCCCAACGTGAGTTATGCCAAAGGTTTCTGGGATATGAACTCCATACTTTCGAACTATAGTTCGGCTACAGAGAGCAACATACAATTGTTCCTGGGTATATTGTCTATTATGCTGTGTGCAGTTAGTGTGCTCCTGCTCATTGGTGCTTGCTGCGTTAGTATAATTAGTAACTTAGTTTATACTGAGAGCTGAGAGCTCACAATATAATTAGTAATTTAGTTTATATTCTTCACGACCAATACCGGGCAGATTGAAGTGTGCTTCTTCTACGTCAGAACACCATAAAGCAATAGTGTATGTAGGAAAAGGAGAGAACTTACACTACTACACTTACACACTTAACATTATTTTTCGCGGAACAAGTAAGGAAAGAAAGGAACAAACAGATTTTAAAACATTACGTAAAAAAAGAGCATAAAAACGTAATATTAAAAAATTAAAATATAGGTATAATAATAATATATATATATATTATTTTTGATACAAAAAAAATGCAAACGAAGTCACGAGTAACAATTAGTATAATATAAACCAAGATATGCCGATAAGAAAATTTCAAACAAGATGCTTGGAATTAAATTCTACTTTTTCGAGCGGCGTAAAAGATTTTCCTCGTTTTATTTTACTTATTAATAATAGAAAATCCAGTGAAATTATTTCTGAAACCGAACAGAGCTTTCCCCGTGGATGATCGAATTATCTGAATTATGAAAATAATGTTTTAACCTTTCATACAAACTGCGTAGTCACGTACCTAAGTGATTTTGTAGATGTGGAGGGTACAAAAATTATTGTTATATTTCAACCCTCGCCGGGTATTTCTTGATCAAAAATTGTTCTATATCAAGAATACCATCGCTGGAATTCATTTTATCATAACTTTTGAAGTCACTGTCAAAAGAAGTTTCTCTATGTTTGTTTATTAATAGGTGTTTGGTCTGGTTTGATGTTTGGGGTTGGGATCGATCTATACAAAATCATATGTATGATTGCATTCTGTGGTAACTTAGGTGTATTTGATTTTGGAATGTGACGTCATAAAATTTAAGGCCCACTCCCAACCCTTGTGACTCATTTCTTTGTCCTCTTCCACTCATAACGTTTGACTTAACTTGCCGATGACCCTTATTATAACTATAAATAAATTTTATTGAAAACTTCAACAAACAAATACTTGATATAAACACTTTTGAATAGTCATATTTATTTTATTCTACCACTCATTAGGAATGCAGTCTTACCACAAAAAGAATGGGATGTTTTCGATGCCGTCCCCTCCTAACGATTGACGTAATTTACGGATAACTCCTTTTTTCTCCTTTTTTCTTTTCGATATATATTCAAAGATTAGACCACCCGCCCTGGAGAAAGGTAGATGTGTAGATTTTTACTCACTAAAATTCTACCCGGATGACCCCTAATGATCTAATTTCCAACAACTGCCAATTCTGTTCGAGATATATACCAAAGAGGTGCGGGGGTGTAGTGCGGAGAATGTTTTTGATCCCTTCATCCTCTAAAGTTTGACGTAATTCTAAGATTAGCCCGGGAGAGCGAGATTCTTACTCAACAAAATTTTACCCGGATGACTCCTAATGATCTAATTTCCAGAATCTGGGGAAGGGTTTTTTCGATCCCGCCCCCTCCTAAAGTTTGACCTTATTCTTAAATTATACGACTCGCTCGGGAGAACGATAACATACCTTACTTACCAAAACTCTACCCGGATAACCCCTAATGATCTAATTTTCAGAATCTGCCAATTCTGATTGAGATATACCAGTGGGGTGCGGTGGTGTACTGCTTGGGTGTGATGCTGCTGTTCTTCATTCTCGCTGCATTCTGCTTCTTCATCCACACCAACTGTTATCTGGCCGGGGGTGCACTCTGCGCACTTATCATCTGTGACATTCTATGTTGGTTTTTTTATACAACTAAGATAACAACTAAGCATACGGCCCGCCTGATGGAAGCAGCTATCCTTTTTATTATTTCTTATATTTTCTTACTATCAAACGCAAACGCCTGGCAAACGAGGTTTTGCCACATACATAAATCAGTTATCGATCGCCGTGAGTAGAAAATTATTAAAGTATTAGGTGAAAATTTAGGGTTGTGTGTATTTTTTAATAGCGAAGAAGAATTTAGAATTATAAAACAAAATAAAAAAATTGTGTAGATCACCTTTGTGGTATGAGAAATAGTTTAAATCTTATTCTCAGAGTGAGACACGCGATATCACTCATGCGTTGCCATTCTAGAGAACTAAAATGACTCTTATCCTGTAATTTTACTATCTAATCTGCATCCTACAACCGAATCTTAGATGTTTAAAATAGAATAGAAAAATATTGAAATGAACTTAAATTTAAGCACTCTTTAATCTTATATTTATATTCTTAAATCTACCGCTCGTTCGGAAAGCTGTCTCACCACATGAAGAACAAGCAAAAACATACGTGTTGCTCTTTTAAATAATTGTTGTAACTTTAAATTTTTAAGATGAAACGTGTAAATATAAATACAAACTGTCAATCACTAAATCTTTAGAAAAGTGGAAAATATACATGGTTTTTTTTCAGTGACCGCGTACTTCGTTATGGTAGCTAATAGTCTTCGCATGTCATTGAAGTTCCTCAACGACGAAGGTATAATATGATATAATTAGATCATACCACCGTTACTTTGATTGCAACATAAAAATATAACACTAATTGCCTCACAAAACGATCGCCCTTGTACATTTGTTAATTGGTTTTGTAAAAGTTTTCGTGAATAAAGTATTGGAATTTTTTTTTGTTTGATTTCCATTTTCGAGGAATTGAAGATTATTAAAAAAGGTGAAATGTATAATGTTTGAAAGTAGTACCATGGAAATTTATTATATCTCCAATAAAGTACGTTTGCTAAGTAATATTGATGAGATTTAAATGTCAGCGCGTTTGTTTCAAACGTTGAGAGATTTTTCTTTAGAGAAATGAACTTAGAAATATGTACTCGTATGTAATTGAATGGAAAGAATAATATAAATAATTATGTATTTCATGAATATTTGTCTACATCATATTATATAAAAAAATTATTTATATCATTATCACATAATCCTAACCATCATAATCCATCATCATCACGATCGTCATCATCACATCATCATAATTAATCTTTGCAATGGTGAACCCTACCGAATTGAGAAGACATAATTTTACTACAGTTTGTGATAATTAAAAATTACGGTTACATTGTCTGTTGTTAAAAACAGAAATAATCATACAAACAATAGTTTTTTTTTATAATACAATGTTAGCAAACAAGCATACGACCCAGTTAACTGACTCATATGGAGAAATATATAATGTTTCTAATTGTTAAATGTTATTGTGAGGGTATCGAATCGGCTACCATTAGTAGGTATTTTACACCCAAAAGATCATCGTGGACCTAAATAACCCCGCAGTTTTGTACATAGCAGATTAATGTTCCCGACATAACATTAATATCTGCCAGAATGACATCCAGCATCCGAGTAAATCTGCTAAGAAACTCAGTGTCGCAGGCGTTTTCATTTCCGTTTCCGCGGAGCTTCGCCTCAAGTCTGAATTATAGGACAATTACTAATAAGACACGCTTGATTAGTTACACTTTTGAACTATTTTTATATCTCAATTCTGTTATAAGTTTTCTAATTGTAAACCTGTTTATCGTAAATAAATAATTAAAAAAATAATTATAGCATTTTTTTCTAAATACTGATATGAGTTTTCTAATTGTGAACCTGTTTTTGATCGTAAATAAATTATTAAATAATAAAAAAAATGGTCGGCCTCGGTGGTATAGCGGTTTAGCACAACGTCTTGGTGATGGTCGCTAATTCGATTCCTAGCACATTGCAAAGTTTTGTATTTATGAGTATGATTGTTTGTTTTGATCATATTAAGTACCTAATTGACAAAAATAAATATATTTGAGTATATATAACAGTTGTCTAGTACCTATAACATAAGTATTGCTTGCCAGTGCCATCTAGTATTAAGCTTGGTACTAGATGGCATTACGTAAAATCTCCTGTGTTTTATTATTATTAAAAAAAATAGCGTCATAGGATACAGCCAATCTGCAAACTGTAAACTTTGCTGGTATACTCGTATTACCCGAAACACAAACGGTACTTAGCTTGAAAATAGATGGCACTATGTAAAATGTCCTGGGTTATAATTATTATTTAAAAAAAGCATCACGGCATCACGTCACACAGCCAATCTGTGATTAAAATCTGAAAACGTTGCTAGTATTTCTGTCAGTTGTCTAGTGCCCATATTACAAGCGCTTAGCTGAGCATTGTGTAAATAGTCCTGGATTATCATTATGATAAAAAAAAAAAAGCGCCACGGGAGATAGCCAGTCTAAAAACGTTGTTATTGTATCCATCAGTTGTCTAGTACCCATAACAAAAAAACTGCTTACCTTGGCACTATGTAAATTGTCCTAATACTGTCTAACAATAACCTATTATTAAAAGAAAAACAGTGTCACGGTACATAACCAGTCTGTGATCAAAATCTAGATACATTGTTATTGTATCCATCAGTTGTCTGGCACCCATAACAAAAAAACTGCTTAGCTTGGCACTATGGAAATTGTCCTACTACTGTCTAACAATAAGCTATTAATAAAAGAAAACAGCGTCATGGTACACAACCAGTCTGTGATCAAAATCTGAATACATTGTTATTGTATCCATCAGTTGTCTAGTACCCATAACAAAAAAACTGCTTACCTTGGCACTATGTAAATTGTCCTAATACTGTCTAACAATAACCTATTATTAAAAGAAAAACAGTGTCACGGTACATAACCAGTCTGTGATCAAAATCTAGATACATTGTTATTGTATCCATCAGTTGTCTGGCACCCATAACAAAAAAACTGCTTAGCTTGGCACTATGTAAATTGCACTAATACTGTCTAACAATAAGCTATTACTAAAAGAAAAACAGAGTCACGGGACACAACCAGTCTGTGATTAAATTCTGAAAACATTGTTACAAGCAGTCTGTGATCAAAATTTGGATACATTGTTATTGTATCCATCAGTTGTCTAGTACCCATAACAAAAAAACTGCTTATCTTGGCACTATGTAATTTGTCCTAATACTGTCCAACAAAAAGCTATTATTAAAAGAAAAACAGCGTCACGGTACACAACCAGTCTGTGATCAAAATCTAGATACATTGTTATTGTATCCATCAGTTGTCTGGCACCCATAACAAAAAAACTGCTTAGCTTGGCACTATGTAAATTGTCCTAATACTGTCTAACTAAAAGCTATTATTAAAAAAAACAGAGTCACGGTACACGACCAGTCCGTGTTCAAAATCTGAAACCGTTGCTATAAGTGAACCCACCCAATTTGTTTGAAGGGCAAACAACCCCTGAATCGAAGTTGCGATCAAAGGCTGATTAAAATAAGCGCAAGAATTCCAGTTTGCAAATACTTCAAGTGTTTTTTCGCGGCGTCGATTGCTTTGTTTGTTGTTGGCAGGCTTATTGATTTAGAAACATACTGTCTGTTACTCGCGACTTTGTCTGCTTATCGACCCTGATGTTTCAGGCGATAGGCTACGGCAACCAGTAGTATAAAAAACTGAATTAAAAAAAGGATGAGATTTTTTTAATTACCCTTTGGCCTCATCACTTATAAAAATATGAAGAAGTTTAAAAAAGACTAGGCTGAACAGTCTAAGTACCTTTGCCTGTTCTATCATTGAAAAGGAGATGGACGAATATGGAAATAGACGAAATGTCTATTCAAAACCCTGCCCTAGAACTTTTTTCGATTTTATTATTTTGTTTATTTGAATGCTGGTGATTTTAATACATATCCTTTTAAATTTGATCAAGAGCTGACTAAAGTTTTCTAGTATATTTTTATTCATGCGATTAATGTCTATAGTTTCGTGATCTGAACATTGCGTCTAATAATAATAATAACAATAATATTGACTGTGCTTCTTCCGGGGGTATGTTGCCATCTCCTCTCCTTAAGAGGGGAGAAGAGAATTTTTGGAAAAAAAAAAATAATCTCAGGACAATTTACACAACGCCATCTATACCCAAGTTGAAGCTAGCTAAAGATTGGGTTCTACATAACTGATACAAATACATAGATATTTTTTTCGTAAATACATACACAATATACATAGAAAACACCCAGACCGATACAAACAATCATACTCATGAATACAAATGTTTGTGCCATGCGAGGAATAGAACCCGCACCATCGAACGTAAAGCGGTGTGATAGACCGCTAGACCACCAATTTCGTCAGGCGTATGAATACAAATATAGAATTTAGCTTATATCCGTCATCTTTATATGTTTTATTGTTCTAGTCTTTCAATAAGATTCCTTCAGGCGATTAGTTGTGAAAAAGTAACAAACAGATATAGATACTTCTGTATTTGATATTGAAAATTGATTTATTATTTATACTTTTGTATATGAAATTCGTACATCATGACCTCGCTGTTCTAAGTGTAATCCATACCAAACAAAAATAAAATAAATTAATATAACTCAGAACGGTAAACATTTGACATATTATAGAAAATAAGGCTGTATAGCTTTGTAACTTTCCATTAGTGTATAAAAGACTATAAAAATAAATATAACAAATTTCATATAGGTATATTAATTAATCAATTCTTATATCAAAATTGGAATTACTTAAAAAAATACAGGCTGTATAGTCTAAAAACCTTTGCCTATCTATGTAAGTAAAAAAAAAAACAACACTACATTCCAAACGTCACTGTGTCACTTACAACAAAATACTTTCTGTATGAAACTGTGATACCACTTTTTAAATGACAGTTCTACATACACAGATTCGTCAAGGTTTCGTTCTCATAAGTATTCACCCTCAAAACTGTGTATATTTGCTCAGTAATCAAATACATTTTGCAATATAAACAATTACTCAAACAGATTTCGAGTCGGAGTTTTCAATTATGACATTGTACATATAAAATAATGTGCTTAAATTGTTTGCCTATGTTTAATAAATGTCTCCTTTGTATTGAACTGACAGATGCCGTGTTTATATTATCCAAATCGAGCATAGTAAGTGTTTTCCAAATAGTTATATTTATAATATTAAAGCCCTTTTCGAGATGAATGGATTTTAGAAGTTAATAATATTTCAGGACAATTCACACAGTGCAATCTAGTACCAAGTTAAGCAGAGCTTGTTTTATTGGTAACTAGCTACTCTACTGCATATATTTTTTAAAATCACTAGTATCCTGACAACTTAGTTAGGGAGAGAAACACCTCAATGCCTACAATATTCACAATTACCTATCTCTTATTTGTTTTTATAATAATATAAACACTTTCGCTCCAAAACTCCCGTTGCCTACGTTCAATCATCCGTCATCCACTTGTCAATGTCACATAGATTACTTTGGCTCTGGCCTCTGACGTTCCGTTTCAGGTTACATGATTATTGACTTTACCATTTTTAATTAATGGTGCGTCACACGATAGTTAACATATTATACATATAAACCTTGATCTTGAATCACTCTATCCATATAAAAAACCGCTTCAAAATCCGTTACGTAATTTTAAAGATTTAAGCATACATAGGGACGGACAGAGAGCGACATCGACTTTGTTTTATACTATGTAATGATAATAATAATTATAATCTCAGGACAATTCACACATCTAAACTCAAGTTAAGCTAGCTAAAGCCTATATTATGGGCACTAGATAACTGATACAAATATATAATTATACATAGAAAACACAATGTTTGTGCCGTGCGAGGAATCGAACCCGCGACCATCGGTAGTAGCGCGGTGTGCTACACCGCTAGATCACAAAGGTCTCTGATAGGTACTAGATAACTAATATAAATACTTATTAAATGATGTTCCTAGCTTGTCTGCCGTTTCTAGTTGCTTATAAATAAGGTTTGTATTGGTTTATTTCAGCTAATATTTATGCCATTACTAATAATTGCGACTATGAATCCTTCTCTACTTGGACTGCGTGATGGTGCCCTAAACTATACCTATTGGTATATAGGTATAATGATATTATGGATAAAAAGTTCGACGATATTAATTATAGGATGTATGGGAGTTTTTAAGGCATTATTTTATTTCATATTAGATTTCCTAGTGAACAGGGATGAATGGACGAAAAAACATAATACGCCAGCCTCAAATAAATAGGATAAGGAAGGGGATGATCGTAATGATGATGATGATGACGATGATGACGATGATGATGATGATGATGATGATGATATCCTAGTGGTTTTGTACCCTAAATTGAATTGTGAAGACACTGACAAATAACATTGTGTGCTAATTTTTATTTCTAACTATCTGGTGTACCCTTAATTACATCCGACAGATTCAAATTCGACAGATTAATAAAAAAACACCTATGTGGAAACGTCGATGGAAACACCGACATTAAAACAAAAATTATCCGAATGATGGTAATAAGTTCGATTTTTGCCACGTTGGTTTCAAATATACTCATCCAATATGTTAATCTATATATATATAACTTAGGTGTCTGACATAGTGATCTATCAACGCACAGCCCAAACCACTGGACGGATCGGGCTGAAATTTGTTACGATGCGCTGACCTGACATCATGTTCATCTTATCATCCACTGGTGCCCCGCCAGCGTAAACTGTTACCACAGGCGGGTGCAGCATTCCATTATCGTGCATAATAAAAAACCGGTATGAGATGCCGGTTATATCGTGCGCCGTTACCATTCAGTAGAAAAGATCCTACTTTATCTTAATTATAGGTTTATGTATTTATATTTTCAGAATGATACCGTACAAGATATAATATTCCAAGTATATTTTTGGTCTGTGATATTCACTATGGTCATGCAGTTAACTTTCTGCATTGCTTTTCTAGTATTTTGCATTGATATATGTTTAAACATAGCTGTGATACATTTGGTTGGGTTTTTGTTTCTTCTGATTAGTAAGTATAGTTATACTTATAATTCATCCAATTTTATAAGCATATTAATAGTTATTAATATGCTTATAAAATTGGAGTGTCTGTTTGTAATGTTGAAATAACCATTTTTTACTATATGCATATGAATATAAATACGGTACATACACAGAAATAACATTTCTTACAATTTTTATCTGTCTGTTTGTTACGGCTAATCTCTGAAATGGCTGGACCGTTTTCGACGAGAATTTTATTGGCAGGTAGCTGGTGTAATAAGGAGTAACTTAGGTTAGCTTTATTATAGATAATTAAATTTAATGTGAAATTAACTTTAATTATCAAAATAAAAGCGTTATATGTGTTTATAAAGGGCGAGCATAATAGATCTATGTAGGTCGCAGTGCTACAGGTGCTACAAATAGCTGACAATAGCCCAAACAATCCAATAAAAAAAAACCTGTATGTATAATGTTATTTATTTATCTATTTATCTGTTTCAGTAACACCATACCTTCTTCTTGTCGTAAATAGTTACAGGATGTTGTTGTTTCGATGAAAATATATTGGCTACAATAAGGTAAAGTTTAATACAAGTAATGAATATCATTATCCTTTTTTGCCATTTATTCTCCTTTTTTGGGGGAGAGACGTCCCCAATGTTTTATTTATATTGAAATGAATTAAATTTGCAAAGTCTCATCAAAATCGGTCCACATATTTCAGGGATTAACAAAAATAAACAGACCGACAAAAAATTAATAAATATATTTTTTGATGTAACTACGGTACATACATGTATTTCATATATGCATTTATTGAAAAGCTGTTAATTTGAAATTTAGAAACTAACGCTTCTTTATTTATAGAAATAAAAGCTTGAGATGAAAGTTGTATTGAGAACTGTTTCTTACTTAAAGTTAGTTAATTATTTTGTTCGAAATCTCACGAGATTTTTTATTCAAAAGTTTATTTATATAAAGTATTTTCTATTCTATTCTATTCTATTGTGTTCAGTGTCTGAAATAAGGTCGCTGACCTCCACTGACCGTTACGACGGTGAATGTACAGGGTGATATATTAGTCTAGAATGTTTAATGGTATTTTTTCACAATCGCCCTCACCAGACATTAATCTGTAAAAGGATGCTGCATCTGATGTCTGCTCTTGTCTGTGCATAGACTATGTAGCCGACGTGCCTCGCGACTGCGAACCGGACCTGTAAAATAAAAACTAAAATATTAATAAAAATAAAAACACATAAAACATATAGAAATAACCATAATGTATATATAAATCCATACTTACCTTTTACTATATATGTATTTGTATAAATTGATGCTTCACTGGTAAAATATATTATTCGTTTGTAGGGTATATCTGTAAAACTTAATGTTACATACCTGTATACCTACTTGTTTGGTAATTAAATTGATCCCACCGCTTGTGCGTAGATTGTCGTCAATTATCACCAGTTATCACTTAAGAAAGTTGTGTCACCGCACGTTTATAAAAACGCGTCCACTATCCTCACGCTATATATGCGCAAGCGACACGGACAGCTATCAAATCAAGTTCAAAATCAAAATGATTTTTATTCACGAATATTTCAGCCCTTATGAACGTCACACGCTTAACTGTATCGCCAACCGTCCAGTTTGTGAGAAGAACTGGCAAGAAACTAATGACCGTCGTCCAGTTTATTTACATACATACATTTATTTATATACATATTATATATTTATATCAGTTGTCCTACCGGTTTTGATGAGTCTTTATTTATCCGATAACATATATTATGTAGTTTTGTGTAAATTTCTGTTTTATCTTATCTATGACTATCATGTCCAGAAAAAAAAATATGGATGATAATGGAATAATTTACGACTTGTAGTCGTCCGCTTTTGATGAGTCTTTATTTCTCGCATAACGTGTATTATGTAGTTTTATGTAAATTTCTATTCTATCTTATTTATTTATATATAAAATAAAACTGATTGCTGTACATGACAGATGTCTAATAAAACTATTTTTGAAGCACCTTATCACTATTAAAACTCGAAACTGTAGTCTGCGAGCCAGAGGCTTTGTCATCAATTATTTCCTCTCGGTCTTTCCTACCATGTCAGGTTGACCTCCACGCGGTTCCCCCTGGAAACCATCGTTATAAATTCTTGGTGAATTTGTCACGATAGGCTAACTGACCTGACCTCATGTCCATCTTATCATCCTCCACTGGTGTCCTGCGTAAATTGTTAGAGCAAGCGGATGCACCATTCCATTATCATCAACAAAAAAAAGGGCTTAGTTGCCTAAAATAAATAAATAAATAAATAATAATAATAATAAAAACCTATGACTAGGCATTATGCACCATGGTCTATGCCTGTCTGAATTATAAAAGAAAAAATACTATGGTTTGTTGAAATGTAATAATGTCAAATTAAATAATAATTCTGTATTTATCTGAATAACACTGAAACATGTGTGAAATATTCCCCGAAGTTACAACGTGCTGTTTCCTGGTGTCACTGAGACTCGGAATGTTGTTTATTTCAGTATTTTGTATAGTAAGTAATCACATTATGTCAGCCATTCAAAACTTCAAAACATATATGCATATGTTGTACAAAATCATTATCATTACATAGTATACATAAAACAAAGTCGCTGTCGCTGTCTGTCTGTTCCTATGTCTGCTTAAATCTTTAAAACTACGCAACGGATTTTGACGAGGTTTTTTTAAATAATAGAGTGATTCAATAGGAAGGTTTATATATATAATACTTGTACACCCGTGCGAAGCCGGGGCGTGTAGATAGTATCAAATAAAATTGGATATAAATTGCTATTTACTGTTTATTATTATTGTTTATTCGTTTTGACGATCTCGGTGGTTTAGTGGTCCAGCACACCGCTTTGCTTTCCGATGGTCGCGGGTTCTATTCCTCGCACGGTATAAACATGTGTATTCATGAGTATGATTGTTTGTATTGGTCTGAGTGTTTTCTATGTATATTATGTATGTATTTACAAAAATAATGTATTTAATTATGTACATCATATGTCTAGTACCCATAACACAAGCTCTGATTAGCTTGTAACTAGATGACCGCGTGGGGTTGGATATATATTGCTATTATTGTTTATTAATTTTGATGTTTCGGTGATTCAGCATACTGTGTTGCTTTCCGAAGGTCGCGCGTTTGATTTCTCGCACGGTGCAAATATTTGTATCCATGAGTAGAATAAAATAGAAAATCATTTATTCAAATAAACTTAATTTAGGCACTTTTGAATAGTCATAACAATTTGTTTTTTATCTACCACTCGATCGGAAAGCTCATCACAAGAAGAACGAGCAAGAAACTTGTGTGTTGCTCTTTTAAATAATGTTTGTAAGTTTACATTTACAAGTCGAAACGTGTGAATACAAACTACCAACCAGCACAAATTCTTTGGGTCAAATATAAATATACAATAAGATTAAATCAGTCGTAGTGATAAGAGCAGACCAGTCCCTACGAGCAGCACTCGTTCACGAGTATGACGGATAAGCCAGCCCTCACTGCACTCGACCATATTTTAAGTAGCCCAATGACCCGGCCCACCACGCCGCCACATGTCTGAACATTTTAGTGAGCATGACTACTCATTCCACTCGACCACGTCACAGCTACAAAAAATACTATACGTTAGTTCAGTATTCGCACTTTACAGGAGGATGCATGTATTTATATCAGTTGTCTAGGTCTAGGGTTATTTTTATTATAAATTTCTTAAATAAAATTTATTCATTTATACTACAAAAGCGAATACAATAGAGTATGATTGTTTGTATTGGTCGCAGTTTTTTCTATTTATATTATGGATGTATTTAGACAAAATGTATTTAAGTATTTATTATTATATCAGTTGACTAGTACCGATAACACAAGGTATGCTTAAATGGCCTATTATTATTATTATTACTTACATATGGATACAAACACAAGTAGAAAAATCCTCAACCAATAAACGTATCCACAACCCCAAATAATGAATTTTATATGAGTAATATAAAGTCGCTCAATATACAAAGGGAAGGAAGGCTGGGACCGAGTCACAGTTATATCCAATTATGTTTAAAATATATATATTTATTAATGATCTCTGTAGTCTAACAGTTTAAAAATCTCTGCCGAGGTTAAAGTTAACAAAGTGCTGTTTATTAGTTTTTCTAACGGACCATTAAACTCAATTAGACATACATTATTCATACAAAATTCCTAAGTATGTAATTCTAAACAACACGCAAGTTTCTTGCTCGTTCTTCTTGTGATGAGTGTGAGTATGCGTTCCAAATTAGTGGTTGAATAAAAAAAATAAGACTATTAAAAAATGTTTATATTTAGTTTATTTGAATAAATATTATTCTATTTCTATTTCATTGGTTATATATTATGTTAAGAGATATAAAACTCACATTCTTCTAAGCACTTGGGCGACACCGGGACAGATCTGGAGCAATAGATATATATGTATATATGTATGTATGTATCATACATCATATATATGTACGTATGTATCTGCTGATATATGTACATATATATACTAATTAGGGATCTTCCCATAAGGGATTTGTAAAAAGTTAACTCTAAAATCCAATCTCCATTAATTATCGAGAGTTTTACATCCCCACTCACAATGAGGAGATAAAGTGCTTTGTTAAAGTAGCGAAGTAAGCTTACTCGTTTATTTTACATCTAGATTAATTGGTCAAGTTGATATTTAACTAGATCAATAAAGGTCTAACGACTGCGGATAAAATATAGAAATCCTTCTTTGTATAACATTAACAATGAACAAAATAAGTTATAATTATATTTTAATTATATCTTATTTTTTTATATATTTTTAATTATATACATAATAATAATAATTCACAGAACGCCATCGTTAGGCTATTTTTTTAATCTAGTGTAGTCTTATGATAAGAAGAAATTGTGTACATCGGACAGAATTATTTCTATCATCATCATCTGCTTCTTCCTTATCCCATTTATTTGTGGTCGTCGTAATATATTTTTCTCCTCCATTCATTCCTGTTCGCAGTCATCCCGTTATTTACTCCCTTTCTCACCATGTCATCTTTCACACAGTCCATCCATCTCTTTTTCGGTCTTCCTCCATTATAACCACCATTATAACCATCAACATTCATATGTAACACCGTCCTCAGGATATGATCTTCATTCCTACGCATTACTTAGAATTATTTCTATCAAATTTCTAAAATTACGTATTTAAATTTATATATCTTTTTATAGATACATACATAATATACATAGATAACACCCAGACCGATACAAACTCATACAAACTAATACTCATTAGTCCAAATCATTGCATTTGAATTTGATTCCGCAAATTCAAATTCAAAAATCAATTATTCATGAAGAACGTTTTAGCTGCTTATATTTGTAATTAAGATTTTTTCTCTACCGAATTGAATCCATTAACGGATAGACAACATAGACCACGTACAATAGGGCTCGTAATGATTGAGGCCAGAAAATTAGGTTTTTAATTATTATGATTTTTTTCTGTTAAAAAAAACAAAAATTTGTTTTTTTTAACAGAAAAACGTGAAATATATTTAAATTATACCGAATGTTGCCTACGAACCGTAATTTTAATCTCCTTGTATATGTATAGATTAGCTAATATATTTCATTTGTAGTCTTTTTGTAATTTGTAATATTTACAATATATGTAAATTGTAAGAGGAAGGAACTGGTACTAAAAATACAATTTCTACATAGTTCAGATACCAAGGAAGAATTTAAATTGTAAATACTAGATGCAAATAAATTATTATTATTAGTTTACAGATAGTTAATTTTTGTTGTACATTTTGTTCTCAGATGACGGGCGTGACTAGTCTGTGCATTTTAGAACAAACCAACAACGTCAGTTTTGATAATATTAAAAATATCACTGATATTAGTAGTAAGTTATTTCTTATTACCCACTTTCAAAAAGGAATTTTTTTTTTTAATTCTTCTTTATTTAAGTATAACAAAATCAATACAAATTGATATACATCTAAGAGTACACAAAACATATTTTTTTAGCGTTACATAGACAATAAGTCTTTTTAAACATATAACAGTACGAAAATGATATATACAAAAAAAAAACAAAAGGTGACAGTCAATAATTAACTCTTTAAAAATATTTATGTACGATAGATAGAGAGATAGAGATAGAGATAGAGATAGAGATAGAGATAGAGATAGAGATAGAGATAGAGATAGAGATAGAGATAGAGAGAGAGATAGATTTGATAAATATTACCTACATAATACAACAATGAAACATAAATAATATACAACCAGTTTTAGAGGTACAATAACATTAATTTTGCTGGAGTCATGTCATGAATTAGCGATTTGAGGGTAGAAGTGTAATGTTTATTACTGTATACATCGAATGCAAAGTGAGAAAGAGTCAAAAAGTTATTGATATGTTGTATGACACGCGATTTCATTCACTCGTCTACTCTAAAGTGCGAATCGCGGTGGTCCATCAATTTAGAACACTGCCTTTCTTCCGATGGTTGCGGGTTCGATTCTTCGCACGATACAAACAATTTTATTCATGAGTATGATTGTTTGTATCGGTTTGTGTGTTTTCTATGATATATTTATAAAAAAAATATTTTAAGTCTTTATATACTTAGGGTTGTGAATTATTCACGATTATTGTTATATAATTTTTTTCTGATTTCTTAAGGGTCGATAATCTAGTGTATAAATTGCCACCAGTGTGGTATATAAATTTTATAAATAATTAAAAGTATATAATAATAAATAATAATAAGAAGCAACATGCTTCTTATTAGAGGACCTATTATAGTATTTGCTGTACCCGTAGTTTCATCAGCATGAAATTTATAGCCTACATATGTGTTATGATATATACTATAAGCTGTCTCATTGTAAAATTTCACCAAAATTTGTTCGGTATTTTTGCATGAAAGAGTAACAAACATCCATCCATACTAACACACTTTCGTATTTATAATATTAAGTAAGATTATAAAGAGGTATAACTCAATTTTGCTGACTATTCATATAAATATTTTTCAGAGCCTGATGAGGTTTTATCGCGTATCAGTAATCTGATTACATCAGGCATTACAACTATGTCATACCTGTTTATGTTCAGTGGTCTTCTTCTATTTTTTGCTAGTATATCGGTAAGTGTATAGATATATTTTTGTGACTAGAATGATAATATTAATAATATCTTAAGAACACAGCGCCATATAGTTCTAAACTAAACAAATTTTATTATGGGTACTAAACTGATATAAATACTAAAATAATTTTGTAAATTCATAAATAATATACATAGATAATTCCCAGACTGATAAAATTAATCATACGTATAAAATTAATGTTTGTATCGTGAGAGAAATTGAACCTGCGAACATCGGAAGTAAGACGGTGTGCTAAAGCGCTAGACCACCGAAGCTGTCAAATGATAAGACATCCACAAGTTAGGGTAGAACTAGTTTCCAAGAGCGGGTGGTGCGCTCACCCCCATTGTAACTACGTCTTTGCATATATTAGAATATTGCTGTATGCTAATATACCTACCCACTACCGCAGAAATAATTATAGATATACATTCATATTAGGGTTCATGATTTCTCGAGCTTTTCAATTTCTCGGGTCTCGAGAATTCTCGAGGTTAATTTCTCGGGTCTTCTAAAAAAATCTACCTTAAACTTGTAAACAAAAATAGTTTCTGCAAAACAAAAAAAAATTACATGAAAGAAAACCTTAATATCTTGAATTATTACGCCGCCATGCAACAAAACAAACGGCAATTTAATTTCTATATAGGTACTTGATTTCTCGAGTTCTCGACTTTTCTCGAGCTTGATTTCCCGGGAACAAAACTCAACGATTTCCCGGGAATTCTCGACCCGAGAATTCCTGGGAATGAACCCTAATTCATATTGAACATTAAATAATTTTTTTTATTGGATTGTGTTATTTACAGCAGGCCATTGCACTCCTTAAAGGATTTAGGTTATTTTGTTTTATTCCGTTACAATTAGCACGTGTAAGACCACCAGTATTCAGGGCGGAAACTGGGAATTCATCCCTACACGCTGGAACCTAAGTGGTCTTGGACAGTGCGGTTTCAAAGGACTTCCTCTAACGTATACTCGAATAGTGGAATGAACTGCCGAGGTTTTCTCGAGAGATTACAGCATGAGTTTTTTCAAGATGGGTATATTAAGGTTTCTTAAGAGTCGGCAACGGGCAAGTAATAACCTTGGTTTTCAGACCATAGGCTACGGTAGTCGTTTACTATCAGATGGGCCGGATACTTATTTGCCATCTATCATCATCTGCTTCTTCCTTATCCCATTTATTTGGGGTCGGCGTAATATGTTTTTCTCTTCCATTCATCTCTGTTCGCAGTCATCCCGTTATTTACTCCCATTCTCACCATATCATCTTTCACACAGTCCATCCATCTCTTTTTCGGTCTTCCTCTACCCTTATAACCATCCACATTCATATGTAACACCGTCCTTAGGATATGATCTGATCTTACTTATTTGCCATCTATGTAGTATAAAAAAAAATATTGCGAATTGAAACCCTTGGCGGGCTCTGAAACTCGTATGTGACCTCGCGTAGGCCTCATACGTGGTACATAAGCTTGACAATGAGGACACAGAGTCTGTACCGCAATTAATGTCTGCGTGAATTGACCAATATCTTACAGCTACTTAGACTATGGCTACTAACAAGGTGGGATATGAGATTTAGGCTCCCTTCCCCTCATCTTCACCTCTCACACTCCCCTGTTAGGGGGAAGAGGATTGTCAGTAATGTGCAGTAATTAACCCATTACTAGCAATGTACTATGTAAGGTTGACCTCCCCTTGAAAACCACCATGATAAATTCCTAGGAAATTTGACATGATGAGCTAACTGACCTGACCTCATGCTCAGCTTATCATCTTCCACTGGTGCCTTACCACCGTATTAGTCGGGTGAACCATTCTATTATCATCCAATAAAAAACTGCTCCCCTCAGGGGGGAAGAAATAGTTAGTAATGTGGACTGATGACCCCATTGCTAGCAATGAAGAAGAAACCATTGCTAGAAACCATCGTGATAAATTTGCCATGATGCTTATAATCCTCCACTGATGCCCCGCCAGCGTACAGCTAGCGCAGGCTGATGCACCATACCATTATCATACAGAAAACTGCTACCCTGTTAACAATTGGACTCCCCTATTTCACTTGCATTGTAGGATGACGAAGGATTAGCACAAGGCTTCGTCTGGCTGACATTCCTGGCTGTAGTCATCGGCTACGTGCTAGTGGCTGTGATAGCTGTGGAGTGCACACTTCAATCCAAGTGCTTGCTCAGCAAAATGGACTGGCTGTCAGGAGCGACGCTGCTGGTGCTGGCAGTTGGATATCTCTGCTGTAAGTTCTTTTTACTCTCATTAAAAATGACCTACATGAATAAATGATTTCTGAATTTGAATTTAAATTTGATTATGAATTAGAATCCTGTTCACAACTCTTCCATTCATGTTTCAGGCGTCTATAGCCTACGTTAATCGTTTACCACCAGATGGGACGTAAGATTGTTTACCACCATCGTAGTATAAAAAAATGCGCTCCAAATAGTACAGTTAGACAAGAAAACCTCTGGTCGGTACTTTCACCAATTTGTTTTACAGAGTTCTCTATGGTTTATTTTCAGGCCCGTAAATACAGACCTATCACCAATTTGTTTCATAGAGTTCTCTATGGTTTGCTTGTCATTCGAGTTATATAAAAACATAACGACGACTGACAATAATTTTGACGAACTCGGTGGTCTAGCGGTCTAGCACACCGCTTTACGGCCGATGGTCGCGGGTTCGATTCCTCGCACGGCACTTACATTTTTATTCATAAGTATGATTGTTTTTATCTGTCTGGGTGTTTTCTATGTATAATGTGTATGTATTAACGAAAAAAAAAATATTTTTGTACTGTAACGATCGCCCCTTTCCCTAATAAAATTTTTGGATAATATTTTAACCTCTTCTTCTAATTAATTGGATAATATAATAATTATTTAAATATATAGATCAGAAACGAGAACACTCAATCATTTGGCCATATAAATAATAATATGTGATCGTCTAGTATCGGAGGACCTGTTGTGTATGTGTAGTAACTATAGATTCTTTGATTGGTATATGACGGAGTAATAACTACGAGATAAATACATATCTCGATAATACAAAGTATATGTTATGAATAATAATTATACAGTAAATAATTTAAAGTGAAATCATTATGGTTTTAATAATTAAGAGGCCCCCTAAGGGGCAGAGAACTGGCTCCATCCACACGCCAAGCCTCAAGTGGAAGACTCACCAACTAACTTGTTCCTTCCCCCTTGAATATGGGATATGCAAAATAGGATTGCGATATACACCATTTGAAGGTGAGATGGGATGAGTATTCTCAGCATCAAAACAAGTTTAGTTTATATTATTAAATCAACATTACAAGTGGCTTCACCAAGCTTGTGATGCTTCAAGTAAATAAATAAAGATATAGTTGCCAAAGGCAAATCGAACTGAATTCAGGATCACTCACGACACAGAAGCTTACTTATGGATATTGACCCCTTCAGTTCCATGAGGCGATAGAGAGACCGTCAAATAGACTGCCGACCTCGAAACTAAATCCCAGCATCACTCAGTCACAGAGCCCACCTAATGGGGAACACCCCGGCCCCAGCGTGACAGTGGAGATCAGACTGAAGATACGAGTCGTAACAGAAACTAGGAGGTCACTCAAAAGCCAGAACTTACTAATGGATCCCAGTATCCTTTCAGCCCTATAATTTAACATTGGAGATCACCCGTAATTGCAGTACGATAAATAGTAGAGTGGTATGATAGCCCGGTGCCATCAACACCACAATATTGGTCAATCCAATATATAATGTTGATAATTGCTATATTACAAACATAGCATGTATAATTTATAAATCTCCTTAATACCAAGAATACTCGAGGAAATAAGGATTGTGTATTCGTTAATCAGAGCTAGACTCTGTTATGATTGTTTATATTTAAATAAGATTACTTACATAGTAAAGTAATCATTATAATTAGTGAGATATTATAAGCGAGGACTATAAGTCCCAAATCTAAATAGAGATATCTGAATGATCCACATGATGAACCAACCAGAAGATAATGTTTAGTTTATAGAAGGACTGCACGTCCAAATATATATCAGTAAGGTTTGATTAATCACATAGTGAAATAATCAGAATAATATAGATAATAATGTCAAAGTTCTATGACATGGATTAAAGTGATGTATGAACATCCACTAGGCGGACAGTCGATGTGATACAGGACCGGAGTCCTTAGATGTAAAGGCTAAAGCCTAAGATAATTGATGAAATGATTAGCCATATAAATGGATACTCATAAATATATATAGATTGAGGACCGAAGCCCATAGAAGTGATTATATTTATGTATACATAAACATATATATATATATATAATATGTATATATAAATTAAAGGACTAAGAGTCCTAATATGCTTAAGTTGAGCATATACAATAAAGTAATTAGTATTTGTTATTAAGGCCAAGGACCTTGAAATAAACTTTTATTTTAATGAATTGACTGGAACAAAGAAAATAATAATAAATATCTTAATTAATAAAGAACCGAAGTCCAATAAGAATTAATAGATACCGGTTTATTTAGTAATTATACTTTTATATGTATACGTTTATTAAACCTACTAATTATGATGACGATTTAGGCCCTCATACTGGCCACTGATGGTTCAGAGAGAGAACCACAAGAGACTTGTGACACGGGTGTAGGTTTAAAGGACCCTTTTAAAATGCACTAACACTCACCTTCACTACTTCTGGTAAACTCCCAGATCTCATCTAATAAACCCCCCAATGCGTACAATTTTCACAACTATATATTATAATTAGGCAATTCCACTATTTACGGAAAGCAAAATACGTCTCTATATCTATAAGGGAGTCATATTGAACAGCATTGCTATTGCTTCAGCTGATTAATATAGATAATATTGATTACGGATTAATTCATCTATTATATACATATTTGTGCAGTGTAATAATTTGTATTATATAATAAATGTGATATGTGTCCTAAATCTTTACCTACATAACACCATATGTCCAAGGTAGCAACATATCTCTATATTGATACACCACACATATAACGCACATATAGTAAAGTTCAGGGTGTGAGACCTAGATAACCACATAGTTATCAACTAAACTGAAGTCCCTATTGGTTGTAGAAATCTCCACAGGGATCGTGGTCTAAAACCTTCATTGCGAGCTTTGACCCATCTCTCCTCAAATGATGGAACATGTGACTTCATCATAGATTCATTGATCTGAGCCTCTCTCTCCTCCTGATGAAAACTTCCACAACTAATTCAGAAATTATACTTCCTTACTAAAGCCTCCATAGAGATTTACGGATCATAATATATCATCAAAAACTCTTGGAAAATGTCACTTCAATAGTTCAATCATCGATACAAATATTTTCCTCCTTCTAGTGAAGCCTTCAGTAACCACGAACTCCCCCATGCGACACCTTTTGTAGAATGTATATAATTGTAGTATGGGTAAGTACTAAATCCCAACCAGGCAGTATCCCTCTATTTGAAATAGCAACCTTGCATTACTATCACAAACAAAGAATACTACAAAGCTAGTTATTCAGTGTGAGTAATAAAATATTTGAAATAAATAATTAATAGATGAATTTAGTAAGGGAAATATTTACCGTTTGCAAGTAATTGAATTATTAATAGCTACACAAGTGCAACAAAGTTCTATTATAACTCCATTAAATTACTTTTATTTATTTAAAGTAAATTTGCTATTATCTGAATTCTCATTGTAAATATTAAATTACCTATAAACGTTGAAGATTTTAACATGAGGAAATTCCTTAACATCTAACAAGAAAGTACCAAACGCTGTATAACGTATATGCCTAAGAAATAAATAAATTAATATAAACCGATTCACGAATTTCTAGAGACTATAACGTACGTAAAGATTCAATTATTCTAATATATATTTTACTCGTTGTATGATGTACAATTACATAAGATTTAAGCACATAATAAAACACACAATTTATAGAAAAGGAAATAAACACATGTAGAACCTAAAGAAAATAATTTTATAATACTAACATGCACAAAATAAAACAATAATAGAGAAATAATAAATTCACACAAATGATAAAAAAGGAAATAAACATATGTAATACCTAGAGAAAATGATTTTGTAATACTAACATGCACACAATAACTCAATAATAGAAAATAACAGAATTATACACATGTATGTCTGCATAATAATTTACATGCGCTACGCATGTAACTCGAACCCGCGACTTCAGGAAACAGCGTACATTAAGCCACCAAACCATAGAGGCTCTCAATCTTATTATAACTTTAATATCTAACATTTAAACAAGGCTTAGATTATGGCCATAAGTCTTAACATACATCTAACCGAGTTTAATAATCCTATTATTTGCTATTATAAATTTATCTGGATCAACACATCCTAAATATTATCTTCTCAATAAATTTCAGACTGCCTCATTTAAAGTAAAAGAATTAAATCACTTACCGAGATGCTCGACAGGAACCACTAATAAAATAATTAATTAAACACTTGCTCACCTCACGGTCACTCCCGACTAATCCCTTCTAACACCCATATTGGCTATTTATAGACATTTTTGTTTATCAATGTGTATGTGTTAATAATGATATACGTTAGTGTGCGTAAATCAAAGCTATCGTTTTGAGCTGATGAATTCAATAAGATTTTGAATTTGAATGAAATAAGATTGAAACATTTTTATTTAATTTTTGTATTGTTTTTACGTAAAATTATTTAATATATCTTATTTATTAAACCATATAATGTTTCTATTTATAATTATTTTATTTTTTAAATAATCTAGTTTATAGAAATTAAATCAATGTTTAGTTAGTGAATTAAAGTCCTAAAATGAATTGTTTTTAAAATCTAATACAATTTTTGAACTAAATATTTGTAATATACTTATGGGTATAGGTGAACCGTCACAGTACATACTTGTATCAGTTATCTAGTACCCGTAACACAAGCTTTAGATCGCTTAACTTGGGTCTAGATGGCGCTGTGTGAATTGTCCTGAGATTATTATTATTATAACATTTGTAACTATATACTGTTTTAAGTTTGACGCGGTCATTATTTATAAGTATAATTAGTAAATCACGGGATCTTACCACGTTTTATTTTTGTTGAGATCCCGATATTTCGGCAGTGTTTCAACCGCCATGATCACGGGAAAAGGTAAATATCGGGAAATATCCCGATATCTCTAAA